GACCACTCACACCTGAGTGAGGATACCTCTTGGAAAAGCAGGAATATGCGAAATTCACTGGAAATGTAAGGCTTATTCATATATTTGTGGGAAAAATGCAATTACCAGTACCCTTATCATCATAAATGAAATAGGGTGAATACACTTCATAAATTTAATAGTATGTTATTTGAGTAAAAATTGTTGTATTTTGATGAGGCAGCTAGGGCGCATCAATAGGCATCTCAGATTGACTGAATAAATAGTTCCCGCTATACATACATAAACACACACACACACACACACAAACACAGATAGAGTTCAGAGCATGAGTCAAAATATCCATAATAGCGGTTATAATTAATTAACGTATGCTGCCAAGTGCAAAATTAGGGGCAATTGAAATCGACAGGTAAGAAAATGTATCGAATGGCAGGAATAGAGGATAAATGTTTATTAAGAACTATTTATGCTATAATGATATACTCAAAGGTTCGTTGACCCGCCAAGGAAAAAGTATCTTCTCAACTCGTCTAAGTACGACCACATTCTTTACACAGCTGAGTTAACACACCAGTGCTCAACAATTTAGCCAAACTTGTTTCCTATTACTTAATCGCCGTGATGCTTATAGGAAAGTAATTGAGTCCTGAAGATAGAGGATATTATGCTATGCTCTAATTAATGTTAGTTTCATACCTGTGTGCACACACGAGAACGTACTAACCCCGAAAATCATACGTACGAGCATTCTTCTAGATGAACATATTACATGAACCAGCCAAATGCACAGCATGCGGGCATAATCAAGTGAGTTTTCATAATTCGGTGACTTGAAGTTGTCGAAAGGACGCGTTTCAGCTCGGATGCTCTTTGCGAGGTGGCATAGAGGACGAAAGTTTAGTACGCTTTCTCCCACACAAAAGAGTGTACCTCGGAGTTGCGTCAACCTGAACACCCATGTATACACCCACACGGGCAACCACTCAAATAGAAATCTATGGCCATAAGGTTTGCCAAAGGAAGTGTGATTACTTAATAATGTTTTAGTAGTGCAAGTAAAATTTGCTTTAAAGAAGAGGAAAGGAGCCATCAATATGCCTCTCAGTCTGGTTGAATGAGACACTATTCGTACACACCCAAATGGGGAACCGTTCGAAAGGGTCAAACATGTTCTCTTGAGAAATGGTTACTACTTTATATGCAAGTAGCATGAATAGCATCCATGTCAAGGACGAAGAGAGGGCTCTACGATGGAATAACTGTGTCAGTAGGTGGTAGATATCTGTCCTTGGTCGGGTTATTTGGCTTTATAACAACCTGTCACCAGAATTTTGGCTGCCTATGCACAATAACGGGCACATCGACACGCAAGAAGCAAGATTTCGCCAGTTTGCAAGAAGAAGACACTGAAACAATGAAGCCCCAGAGGGGAACGGAGAAGCTTTGCCGCGGTACAGAACGCTTCTGTCCCAATTGAGCATATGCTTCAGCCGCTCAATTGCTATGCTCATTCGCTCGAGGCATGCATCAACGGGTTAGTTGTTACTGCTTCACATTTCTAGCACAAGCAATTAGCATAACATCTCGACAAGCAATTTTTTGCGCATATTTCTGTGCCCATGTATGCATACATATGCGAGGGGCATATAAATATAAATATAAATATATATGATTATATACCAGCACACCCACGCACACACTTTTCGGACACATAGTTGTGTCTACACCTAAATTCTCTCTCTCACCCGCTCACACACACACACACACACACACACACACATATGTATGTGTAAGTTTAGATTTAGGCACATTTGTGTGTACAAAAGTGTGTATATGCGTACGTGTGTGTGTGTGCTGGTATATAATCATTTTTTGCATTACTTCGAGGGCAAACTACTTTCGGATTTGCTGAACAATGAGGCATTACGACTACTTGGCCTAAAAGGGCACGAAGGCTGTTTAATCGGAGTGTAGGGATAGAGTTGAGGGGTGGATACATGTTGGGGAACCCACTTTTGCGCTCGTTTTCGTACGGTGATTGCATGCCATAGCTCCCCTCATTTGGCCCTTAGTTCTCTCTTGATTACTCATCAACTCGGATGAACTGGATAGGGGAGAAGTTAATCAAATATTTGCAGATGGCAGATGGTGCAATGGCTGACTCACTACTACAACATATATGTAAATAAATATGTGTGTATATATGGGGGTTGTGTGTCTGTGCGCTGGTATTTAGTGTCCACGATAAAAAAAACGTGTAAATTCACTTATCGTCATCGCTCCGCTAGCCAGCCGGCCGAAGGAAACCCCCTTTCGGCCTGTTTAAGATGCAAAAAGAAGACCCGAGGCAAGCATACAATTGGAGGGTGGAGAGAGACCCCAGCTACGGTCGACACCCTCTGGTCGAGGGCCTCGGGGCGGGGTTCGAGTACTGAGAGGAGCAAGTCTCCACTTGACGTCGACTTGGCCGTCCGACATTCGGACATACAGACAGCCGTTATTCTGACCCCATAAACTCTTTGAGGGTTTCGGGTTCGAGTCCCGGAGCAAAATCGTGGATAGAAGAATTGGACGCCGGAATAGGTTGGCAAGGGACGATAAGCTGTGGAAAATGGTTCGCGAGCTGATTGGATGACTAAAGTCAATCTCGGCTAAGACGACAGGCTGTGCCTGGAGATCATTTTGC